ACCAAATTAACTAGATATGCACCCCCCCCCCCCCCCCCACCCCTTATTATTTTCTTTTTTTTTTTTTTTGCTTTCAAGGACTCAAGCAGCTGCCTTCAAACCAGTCCATGATCAAGGCTGTTGAAAAGGACACCAAAGACATTGAGAAAAAGTACAACATCTTCTCCATTATTTTTTAATTACCATCTTATTATAAATAAAAGGAGAAAATGCTTTGTAAAAGGAAAACAATTAAATTTAAAATGAATCACCATAACCTGTCAAAAACAAGGTTCTGCAGTCTGAAAGTTTTGTGTTTAGGCACAAAAGTGGCTGCATATCTGAGGAGGGATCACAGAGAGGAGTTAGTCTAAAGCAGTGGTTCCCAAACTTCTTTAGCCGCGCACCCCCTTCTATGTCCCAACCATGTTGACGCACCCCCCAGCCCCACACCAGGGCATGGCTATATATCTATATCTATATCTATATCTATATATATATATATATATATATAGATATAGATATATATAGATATATATATATATAGATATAGATATATCTATATATATATAGATATATAGATAGATGATAGATAATAGATAGATAGATGATAGATAGAAGATAGATAGATAGATAGATATCCATATATATATATATATATGTGGCACCTTCCTACCGGGTGGGTGGGCTATATTATATATCTACCAAATACAAAATCCCATCCAAGGATTACACCAGGTAAATTGAGAGCGTCTGCCAGAGATCAAAGGAATCAGCCATTAACCACCGCACCGGGGTTTATTGAAAATTCTAATTAAAACATCATTTTAAAAAACCAGGTTAGGACAGTCACTATAAACGGTTGTCAGAACTGGGCCGGAGAGTCTGCAGCCTTATCTGGACGCTGCGGGGCAGATTCCTCCTCCTTGGGGACGCTTATCTGCCGCGCTGGTTTCCTCTTCCCTGATAGCTCGCCTCCTCCTTCAAGACGCGCGTCTGCCGCACCGCCGTTTCCCTCGATCGGCCACTTCCTCTTCCCTCGATAGCTCGCCTCCTCCTTCAAGACGCGCGTCTGCCGCACCGCCGTTTCCCTCGATCGGCCGCTTCCTCCTGCAGATCAGTCACTGGCTCGGCCGCGTCACCGCGCCACGCTGTCGTCCTCCTCTGTCGCGGGTCCACCTGTCAGTGAATTTAACGGCAGTCACTGCTCGATCACACACCGCGGGTCACACCTTGTCACAGGGCCGCTACTCACACGCCAGGGCAGAGGAATACCCTGCCCACATCTCCATGAAGCCTCGTCACAGACGATCGGTGTCCTTTCACCCAGCGATTCCCTGCTTGCTGCCACCGTCTCCACCAAAAAAACAGACGCTCCTAATCTGCCACCGGTGCAGATAATTGCTCCGCTCCGGATGTCATCTGTCCAAGCTCATCAAAGTAAAATCACACACCCTCCCAGTTTCCTGAGTTCCCCAAAATAAAAGCATTCCATGCACTAAACTAAATAAAAAAGAATACACACTAAAAACACACCACACTAGAAGGAAAACCACAATAAAACAGACTTTGCCCGTATGACATCCCCCCACTTCTTGACGTCGTCAGTCCCTGTGACGTGAACAGTTCAATCCCCATATCTGTCTGGTGGCTTGCCAAAATTAGGCCGAGCAGAGCGCCGCACTGCTTCCTGTGGTCCATCTTGGGGAGCCCCGTGTGGAGCTAGGGGAAAAAACCCATAGAACAATGGTTCCGGCCACTTTAGAGTCTCTAAAAGCCTTTGACTGCCTGCTTCAGGCTCCGCTACCGGTGGTAAAATGTCTACAGGGGGTGCTGTACACGGCTTCAATGCATTCCTATGCACCGTCTGCTGGCGACCACCTTTTTCAGGTTGCACCCGATAAACCACCCCCATCTCTCCCACCTTGTCCAAAATCACAAAAGGATCATTTCCCCACCATGTACACAGTTTCCCTCTGCCCTGCCTGTTTCTCTCCCGCACCCACACTCGTTCTCCTGGCAGCAGGGGCATGGCCTTGGCCTTCTTATCATAATGCTGTTTCGACTGAGAAGCTGCCTCGCTCATCTTTTGCCCCGCTATATTATAAGCGGTGGAAAGTCTCCGCTGGTGCTCATTTACCCACCCACTCAGCTCGTGACGTACCTCTTGGGGGCCAACCCCCAGCTCTAGATCTACCGGGAGTCTCAAATGCCTGCCAAACATGAGAAAAGAGGGCGCATAACCGGTGGAGCTGTGTGTTGTGTTGTTATACGCATGTACCAGCTCAGAAATGTATTCCGGCCAGCGGTTCTGCTTGGCTGTCTCCAATGAGCGAAGCATGTCTAGCAATGTCTGGTTGAACCGCTCTGTACCACCATTCCCTGCTGGATGGTATGGCGTTGTGCGACTCTTAGTTACACCATAGGTGTCACAGAGCTGCTTCATTAAGGCAGACTCAAAGTTGGGGCCTTGATCCGAATGGAAACGGGCTGGGCAGCCAAAAGGTTGAATTACATGCGTCCACAGAGCCCTCACTGTGGTCTGCGCCGTCTGTTCTCTAGTAGGGATGGCCCAAGCAAACCGGGTGAACAGATCTGTAGCAACAAGTATGTTTTGGAAAACATCAGTAGGCCGACCAAGCGATAAGAAGTCTAACCCTATCACTTCTAAGGGGTAGGACACCACCACAGGGTTCAAAGGAGCCCTCAATTCTACCTTCTCTCTCTGTAAACTACAGGCGACACAACCCTGATGGTAACGACGTACCTCCCCCTCTTGGTCTGGCCAGTAGAACTTTTGTCTGACCCGGGCCAGGGTCCGGTCCACACCAGCATGGGCAGCTGCCTCGTGGATTCTCATCCAAACCTCTCTATGTCGAGAGCTGGGACATACAATCTGGTAGTGCTCCTCATTGGTGCGGGGCTCGATCACCCTCCGGCACAGTAAATTGCCCTTATTCACAAGCCTCTTCTGTTGTTGTAGCAACTTCTGGGCCGTGCGGGACATAGCTTGTCGCTCTGCTCTCGAGGGTCTCGTTTGTCGGTCCACGTACTCTTTAACCAGCCGGATATCTGGGTCATTGGCTTGAGCCAGCTCCCATTCACCATCAGCCCAATCTTCACTTCCCCCATCAGGGGCGAGCTCCACGGCTGCCGAAAATGCAGCCTCCGCATCGGAGGGTTCATCATCCGAGGTGGGCACTGGGAACCTGGACAAGGCATCAGCATTCGTGTTGCTTTTCCCGGGACGATACTTGATGCTGTAGTTAAAAGAGGCAAGCTGAGCAACCCAGCGCTGTTCCGTTGCCCCCAGGCGGGCTGTCTGCAGATGGGCAACAGGATTATTGTCAGTATATACCAAGAACGTTGCACCAGTCAAATAATCCTTAAACTTCTCGGTTACTGCCCACTTGAGTGCCAAAAGCTCCAATTTGAAGGAGCTATAGTTCGCGTCATTACGCTCAGCTGGGTGCAAGCTACGGCTAGCATAGGCTATGACACGTTCCTGCCCCGTTTGTACTTGAGCCAGCACTGTTCCCACCCCCTGGTTACTTGCATCTGTGTACAAAATGAATGGCAACGAATAATCAGCGTATGCCAGGACTGGGGCCTGGATAAGCGCTGTCTTCAGTGCGTCAAAGGCCACTTGGCACTCAGGGGACCATCGTACTGCCCGGGTCTCCGTCCCCTTGTTAATAGGGGCGCCAGCGAGCAGTGCATTCAGCGGCCGGGCAATTTTTGCAAATCCCGCTACAAAGCGTCTGTAGTAGCCGGCCAGTCCCAAAAAGGCCCGCACTTGTCGCACAGTAGAGGGGGGCGGCCAATCCCTCACCGCCGAGATCTTATCTGGGTCAGGTCTTACCCCTCTTTGATCTACCACGTGGCCCAAAAATTTCACCTCACGTTGCAGTAGTTTACACTTGTCCAGCCGTAGCTTCAATCCGTGCTGCCACAGCCTTTGGAGTACCCCGTCCAGATGCTGTAGGTGAGAGGAGAAATCGGGTGAGTAAATAATGATGTCATCCAAGTACACCAACAGTGACTCTGCCATCTGACCACTTAAACACTGCTGCATAAGTCGCTGGAAAGTGGCGGGGGCATTACACAATCCGAACGGCATGCGTTCAAATTCAAACAACCCAAGTGGAGTGGTAAAAGCAGTCTTCTCCCTGTCCTGAGGATCCATTTCGACCTGCCAGTACCCACTGGCCAGGTCAAGGGTAGAAAACCACTCTGCTCGGTTCAGACTGGTCAGAGTCTCCTCTATCCTAGGCAAAGGAAAGGCATCTTTATGAGTTACTGCGTTCAATTTCCTATAATCGACACAGAATCTCCAACTGTTGTCTTTTTTCTTCACCAGGACTATGGGTGCAGCCCAGGGGCTACAGCTCTCTCTAATCACTCCTCTCTCCAGCATATCTGACAACAGGGATTTCACCTCTCTGTACATGAGGGGAGGGAGAGGTCGATATCGCTCCCTAATAGGTGCTGCCCCACCAGTGTGGATTTGGTGTTTTACGGCCTCTGTCCGCCCAAAGTCTTCATCATGCTTCGCAAAAACTTTTTCCCACTTCTGCAGCAAGGCACACAGATCCTCCTGTTGAGCTTCAGACAAATCTGGCCGGTTAGTTAGATCTCTCACCCTTTGTGGAAGCTCACTTTGTTCTGTAGGCACTGCTGCATCCACCAACGCCACTTCAACCGCTCCGTCCTCCTCCAGGGACAGGCTCAGATCACGAGGTCCATGAACATCCGTCTCATCCATGTGGTACAGCTTTCCCAGCTTCTCGTACCGGCCAATAGACAGGCTGTAAGGGTGGGGGTTGCAAACACGCACCGGAATTCTGCCATTTCTTACAATGGCCAGTGTCCTGGCCACGCCCACCTTACTGGTCTCTGATGTCGGGTCTAACAGGGCACAGTAGTCTGCTCCTCGTGGGCCCCTCCGCGCCCGGCCCCAAACCAGCATCTCACTTCTCGGTGGGATCCTTATAGGGCCCCGACGGGCTAGCCGCACAAATCCATGCAGCCCATCCTCGGCCACAGTAGCTTCAATACGCCTGCAGGTTGCAAAGGCATCCTTCCAGGCCTTCTGATGCTTTATCGGTGATGGGCATGGGGCAACCGCTGCAGAACTCTTAAACAGGGCCTTCCAGCAAGCAGTCACAATGTTCATGCCTATAATGAGCGGGTGTGTACAATGTTCATCCTTAACAATAATAACGCCCCGCCCAGGTATGCTAATGCCCTCCACTTCAAAGTCCAACACTGCATAGCCAGTATAGGGGATCTCTAATCCATTGGCTGCTCTCAATTGGAAGAATACAGGGGTCTTCTCAGATTTAATTCCAGTAAAATATTTTTCTAGGAGACTCTGTTGCATTAAAGTTACTTGGGAACCCGTATCCAGCAACCCCTGGAGCTGGACTCCCTCAATGGTCACCCCTATGGTAGGACTTTGTCCAACAAACGTCTCAGTGGCCCCTTTTCCCTCTGGTGGTGAATCAGCCACCCCTGCCCCCCGGACCTCAGCAGCAGGGATGGTTAGTTTAAAGGAGGCGGTGAAGCATTTGGCTCCCAACAGAACCTGGCTATGTGGCCTGGACATCTACATCTGTGGCAGATTGGTCGACCCTGTGCATCCCGGTCGTTGGCATATGACGTGGACCGCCGCCTCTCCCTCTCAAACCTTGAGGGTTGTGGAGCAACTGCTGCGGGTTGGAGAAGTGATTTAACCTCCCTCACCAATTCCTGGGTAAGCTCTCCCATCTGCGCCTTCACGTCCTCCATAATCTCCCTCTTTAGGGCCTTCTTCCAGCCAGGTCCCTGTGATGATTTGGGGGAAGCACATGGGTTACTCACAGCTGAACATGTCGCCTCAGTCGGCGTGTTTCCGTACTCTGCATCAAGTAATAGTGCCTCCTGACGGATAGCAGCAAAATCCCCCTCAGGGTTACGGCGAGCATAAACCTTTAAGGCCTGGGCCAGGGGACCCTCCTGTAACCCCAACAACAGCTGGTCCCGTAAGGCTATATCTGAGGGGGAGTCGTCGGGGTCATGTCGCCGCAACCTACAATGTAGCTCACGCAACCTCAAAATAAAAGAAGATACAGTCTCACTTGGCTTCTGGGTGCAACCGAAAAACTGAGACCTTAACACCGCGGTTGGAGTGCGGTCTCCATACAAGGAATCTAAATAGTTAAGGATTTTTCGGACTTGATCTTTTTCCTTCTCTTCCAAAACACTGACCTGACGTTTGGCTTCCCCAGCCAGCGCCCCCAATACAATATCAACCTTCCTGGGTTCTGCCAACTCCTGTGTCCCTAGCAACCCGGTTATCTGTTCCTTCCAGTCACAGTATTTTAAGTCCTCCCCATGTCCTTTAAATTTTGGAAGCCAAGGGGCCCCTGGGTAAACAGGCATCATCATGGCTAATTTATTTGGCTCCAACAGCCGCTCCCAAAGCCTGGATCCTGCCAACAACGCCAAATGTGGCACCTTCCTACCGGGTGGGTGGGCTATATTATATATCTACCAAATACAAAATCCCACCCAAGGATTACACCAGGTAAATTGAGAGCGTCTGCCAGAGATCAAAGGAATCAGCCATTAACCACCGCACCGGGGTTTATTGAAAATTCTAATTAAAACATCATTTAAAAAAACCAGGTTAGGACAGTCACTATAAACGGTTGTCAGAACTGGGCCGGAGAGTCTGCAGCCTTATCTGGACGCTGCGGGGCAGATTCCTCCTCCTTGGGGACGCTTGTCTGCCGCGCTGGTTTCCTCTTCCCTGATAGCTCGCCTCCTCCTTCAAGACGCGCGTCTGCCGCACCGCCGTTTCCCTCGATCGGCCACTTCCTCTTCCCTCGATAGCTCGCCTCCTCCTTCAAGACGCGCGTCTGCCGCACCGCCGTTTCCCTCGATCGGCCGCTTCCTCCTGCAGATCAGTCACTGGCTCGGCCGCGTCACCGCGCCACGCTGTCGTCCTCCTCTGTCGCGGGTCCACCTGTCAGTGAATTTAACGGCAGTCACTGCTCGATCACACACCGCGGGTCACACCTTGTCACAGGGCCGCTACTCACACGCCAGGGCAGAGGAATACCCTGCCCACATCTCCATGAAGCCTCGTCACAGACGATCGGTGTCCTTTCACCCGGCGATTCCCTGCTTGCTGCCACCGTCTCCACCAAAAAAACAGACGCTCCTAATCTGCCACCGGTGCAGATAATTGCTCCGGTCCGGATGTCATCTGTCCAAGCTCATCAAAGTGAAATCACACACCCTCCCAGTTTCCTGGGTTCCCCAAAATAAAAGCATTCCATGCACTAAACTAAATAAAAAAGAATACACACTAAAAACACACCACACTAGAAGGAAAACCACAATAAAACAGACTTTGCCCGTATGACATATATATATATAGATATCTATATAGACATATATATCTGTATATCTATCTATCTATCTATCTATATCTATCTATATCATCTATCTATATCTATATCTATATCTATATATATATATATATATATATATATATATATATATATATATCAGACGTCACGCTAAACAAGGAGTTGGCAACCTGTTCCCATCAAAGAGCCATTATTACCCGTTTCCCACAGTAAAGAAAACACTGGGAGCCACAGCAGCCACGGCGTTGTGGGCGGGGCCTACCCTCAGACAGCAGAGCGCTGCTCACAACAGGTGACAGCAGCCAGTACCGGTCGCTCGTGCAGGGGCGGCGTTAGGCCCGGCTACTTGGGCTGAAGCCCCGGATCTTTCATGATAAGCCCCGGATCTAAATCGCGGAAGTAACATGCAGTACCAAAGTCACACAGAGAGGGCGCAGCTGGCAGTAGTTTGTAAAGTCCCATTTAGTCGTCACACACACAGGTGTGTGGTGAAATTTATTCTCCGATTTTGACCCATCCCCTGAGTTGCAGACACGCCGCGCTCGGGAACTATTTGGTGGTTTAATCCCCCAATCCAACCCCAATCCAATGCTGAGTGTCAAGCAGGGAGGCATTGGGTCCCATTTTTCTCAAAATCTTTGGTATGACCCGACCAGGAGTCGAACCCCTGATCTCCCGATCTCTGGGCAGACACTCTACCACTAGGCTACTTAGTCAGTATACAGTTTACCTGAGACTGAAGAGAAGCCCTTCAGCAGCTGGCTTCTGCAGTCTGTCTGAAACGCATGAGTGAAGATGGATATAAGGACGTTTTTTTAGACCAAAAGTACAACGACAGAACCCCAGCTCTGATGAGACTGGTGTTGACTCAGGTTTGTGAGTCTTATTTGAAAATATTTGTTGTGCTGCTGGTTTGCCTAAAGTTAGCTTACTATCAGGTAAAGTTGTTGGAGAAAGAAAGGGAATATTCACTATCATCTCACACTAAACACTAACAGGAACAATACTCTGCCCTGAATATGCTGAATATGTAGCTTCAGATTAAACATTATGTGGTACAAGACAAATATATATGATGTTGACTAGTGCGTGTCACGTGTGTGCGCGCATGCGTGTGTGTGCGCGTGCGTGTGTGTGCGCGCGCGTGTGTGTTAAGCCCCGGATCTTCTTCAGTCCTAAATCCGCCCCTGCGCTCGTGTACGTCAAAGCTATTTTTCATAAGACGATAATCAATAAAACGATTTATATAAAGTGGATCCGGAAGTTGTAGCCCGACTCTGCCTACAACATTTTGATATTTTTCACCCTGTTGGTGGTTTTACTGAGCAGGTGCCGCTTTTGTCATACGTTTCTTTTTAAAACATGTCTAGACTGTTCAGAATACAAATCCAGGCTCTGTCACGTTTGATTGTTGTAATTAAACTTTGTAGGTGGGGAAGGTCAGAAAAGGATCCGATCAATTTGTTTTTCCCACATTTACAGCGACGGAGATTACGGTGCAGTGCGCCCGGCTCTGGTGTTAATCAAGTTAAATTTGTAACAATTTTCAAAAGAAAACAAAACAGTTAAAAGCAGGGCTTGTGTTGACCGGACAGTTCCCGTATTTGGCCGTTTATTTTGACGGAGAAAGAATAGAAAGAATTACCCCGACGCATGCAGACGAACTGACACTTAATTCGTTTCGCACATCGCAGATGTAGCTAAATAACTCAAGAAAAGATTTCCTTCTGAACATCTGAGCTGGACACCGCTCAGCGCAGCTCGCTGTCAGCATGTACGTACGGTGCACAGCGAGCTGAAGATGTGGAGAGGGGCTTGGAGCACGTTGCAGAACCAGAGCGCATGCAGGAAGATTCCTCCGACTGAAGCGAGAGTTTTCCAAACCCGGACTCTCAGAGAGACTTGTCACTTAGAAAATGTTCCCTGATGATGAAACTTTGGCTGAAATGCGCTTGTTCCTGTCTCCAATGTGGCGTCTGAGGAGAGTCCCAGAATCTCACATCGTCTTCAGCTCAAAAAGCGCCGATATGATTATGCACAAGCGTGACGCGTCAACCCGGTCACACAGTAGACCGGGTTGGACCTGTTCAGGTTTACGCAGACAATCTTTACATTTAGAATTAGCTTACGGATGTAAAATTTATGCAGTAAAATATAAAGCATTTTATTTAAATATCCATTCATTATTTTACAAGCACAGAGAGCCGCATCCGATGGATGGAAGAGCCGCATGCGGCTCCAGAGCCGCGGATTGCCGACCCCTGAGCTAGGGCATGTGCGGAGGACACACACACACACACACACACACACACACACACACACACACACACACACAAGCAAAATATACTTGTTTTCAATTACGTTTATTGGGCCCACTTACATTTTCTTAGGCCCACACACAAATGAGTTTCTGGCTAGCTAATGGTGACTTTTGACAGACTTCTTTGAGCTCTGCAGCCATTACACTTTTCACCTCGCGCACCACACTTTGGGAATCCCTGGTCTAAAGTCATAGTTACACAGAGATTTCTTGGTCCACTGGTTTTACACAAACGTTACTTACCCCAGCCAACCAGCAGGTGATGGTAAAACACCCTGATAAGATACAAGGAGATCCACAGGTTGATAAAATGCCATACATTTCTTCTTTTTGCTTGTATAACAGCATTTTTGGGTTGTTTCCTCAGCTACGTCGTGTCCAAGTCGACACCTCTGCAGGTGGACTTTGTTTCCTATATGGACGACATAGCTGGAGAAATTGGCGTTCGGCCCAGTCTCCTCTGGCTCCTCTTCACAGACTACCTACTGTTCAAGAGGGTGTTATGGGGACCTGTCACTGCTTACCAGTACCGGTTAACAGGACCAGGCAAATGGGAGGGGGCCAGGGAGGCAATCATCACCCAGTTTGACAGAGTGTACCAGCCCCTTAAGACCAGAAAGGTCTGAATGGATTCAAAACTAACGATCTAATATTATTTTAACACACTGACTGCTTTGCTAATGCAATTGTTACATTTCTTTGTGCCATGCAGGTACCTGAGAAGGAACCATCCCTGTCTGGCCTATTGATGAAGCTGAGCCTGGCGGTCCTGGCTGTAGGAGGAGCTGTGTACTATGCAATCCAGATGCTTTATCCAACTTTCACCCACCGACAGTCTAAATAGGCATTATTGGTGAACTGATGAGAGAGAAACTCAGATATATTTTACTAACATGCACATTTTTTGCTAAAAAAATTAATTCATGTTTGTTTTGTGATGCTGATTATTAAGATTACGTAAGCATCTGAACTATGAGCACCTAATAGGAAAATCATTGTATCTTCATTTTTACTTTAAGTCCTTGAATTGCAATAAATATTTCACTAAATAAACTTCAGACTAAGTATACGAGCTTCGGTTTTCTTGAACACAACAAACTTCATGTTGGTTGTTGCTGTAATATATTTACAAATTGTCTTCAAATGAGACTTTTTTTCTCTTGACAAAATCCTATATCTTTACCAGCTGATAGTGTGTGAAATCACATTGACTTAGAATTTAGAATAATGCTGTCAAAACAAAAGAGAACATAGAAAGTAAATGTAATTTAGTTTTAGATGTAGCTAGTTGAAGCTGCTATAGCAAGTTTGGAAATCATGTTAACTTAAAACAATTTTTCATGCCTCTTCTAACATAGTATAGCTATAAATATATTGTTGACATTTAAAAATAAAGAATAATCATGTGATTCTGTCACATTTGTCTAAAATCCTCCACCAATTGTGGTCCAAAAGCACCTATTGCAGCTTTGAATCTCATGACTTTACTATAAATGGGGAAAAGGGAAACCATGACTTAACATTCAAAAGGTTTGAATGCTTTTTTTTTCTTTTCTTTTATTATTTTTTTTACAAAGATTCTTTGGGAAACTTTTGAATAAGTACAATTATTCCAGACTTTTGCAGTATTATCAGATTGTAGTAGCAGAAATCATTAAATTTAAATTTGCTTCTACGAGCTGCAGGTCATTTGTAATTTTGGAGCCTTGAACAAAACTTAAAATACAGCTTTTGTTCCTTGTTCTTCTAAGAACTGATGTATTTTAGGACAGCATGAGTAATTAGAATCTGATAAAGGTGAACAATGGCTGAACCATTAGTTCTTCAGAACCTGCACAACAAAAGTCCTTTAATCATCTAATGCAGGCTTTGTGTGATCAATGAGGGCAAAGGTTGCCTTCAGGTTTATGGTGATAAAGTATTTAGAATAAAATATAATGTAAAACTAGAATGTGCTGCAAAATTTCATTTATCACCAATTCAACTTAAAAGGTGAAACTAATATATGAAACTAATTATATACTAAGCCAGAAATTTCAAAACTTTGTTTAATATAATTGTGATGATTATGGGGCAGCAGTATCTCAGGAGGTAGAGCGGGTTGCCTTATGATTGGAGGGTCATGGGCTTGATTCCAGCTCCCACCAGGGGCATTCTGCTGTTGTACCCTTGGGCAAGACACATTACCTTCACTTGCCTGCATTGGTTGTGGTCAGAGGAGCCGACGGCGCCAATTGACAGCCTTGCCTCTGTCAGACCGCCCCAGGACAGCTGTGGCTACATACGTATGAATAATGGTAAGAAGAAGAAGAAGATGTCATGAACAGAAGTCAGAAGGACCCGTAATGACACCAAACACTGTAAAGCACCTTTAAAAGTCTTTATTTTATGTGGAGTTACCAGAGGTGGGTGAGGCTGAGGCAGAGTCAGGAGGAAGCATGGGTCAAAACCAGAGAGATCCGTGAATGCTACAAGGGGCAGGCAGGAGGCAGAATACAGAGAATTGTCCGAAGGTCGAGAATCCAGGGGGTCAGAAGCAGAGAACAATCCAGGCAGGGAGCAGGCACGTGGGCAGGTAGAGATACAGGAACAAGGTCAGGATCTATGATTCAGGCAGAGGTAAGGAGTGCTGGAGAATTTCCTGGCGTGAGCTTTACAATAATCTGGCAGAGACTGGGTAGCTGAATGGATCTTTTATAGCAGGGGAAGCAGGTGTGTGAGATGAGTTGAGGAGTCAGGAGCAGGTGAAGAGGACGAAGCTGATTATAGGAACAGGTGAGATGAATGGAGTTGATGGTGGTTGCCAGGGAAACAGGGCTTGTCAGGAGCTTGGTGAGGGGGCCAGGTGAGCTGAATGAAGGCTGAAAAATGAGAGTCATGACAGAAGAAGAAGAAGATATAATTTCTATAGTGCCTCTCAAGATAAAAAATCATGAGGCGCTTCACAAAAACATAAATGTAAAAATATAAAAAATAATTTAGAAAATGGTTAAAAATATATTTAAAATGAGCAAAAGATAGACAATTGTGATTAAAAAAGTGTTAAGAATGAGAGAGAGTGAATAGGAAAGAGAGAAATCAGTGGATCCTGAGGAAGGTGGAATAGGTGGGGAGAGCAGAATAAAGAGAGAGTGGTGAAGAAGGTCATACAAAAGCCACTTTGAACAGGTGAGTTTTCAGCTGCTTTTTAAAGGAGACCACTGAGTCCACTGATCTCAGGCTCAGAGAGAGAGAGAGGTCCAGAGTCTGGGGGCCACAGCAGCAAATGATCTGTCACCTTTGGTCTTAACCCAGCTAACAGGGAACGTTCCAATAACTTTCGCTAACATTCTTTAAAAGTGTTTGTAATGTTAGCACATAACGTTGTTAAAGTAATGTTTTCATTTCATTCTTGCCCCCCCCCCCCCTCCCTAGCATCAATCAAATGGACAGGTGTATTGTTCTTTGACCAGATGGCCTTGCCCCCCCTTCCCTAGAATCAATCAAATGGACAGGTGTATTGTTCTTTGACCAGATGGCCTTTCCTAGGAGCTAGATATTTTTGTTCCTGGTGTTTTACCCCGTACCAAAAAATTAATGGACATCATTGTAAATGGTTCTGCCGAGTGTGTAATACCAATTTATGCAAACGAACAGAAACGTCGCTCATCACATGTCCTGATTGTAATCGGATATGCCAAAATGTAATGTGTTTTCAAAATCACAAAACACCTGTTTACAGGCCTCAAGCAGACAGGGCAGTTTCTCCTTGCGAAATGTTTAAAAAATGCACGAGTTGTAAGCAACTTTATTACATTGCTACGAGTGGAAATGGCTCACAGCACGTTTGCCCCACCACCAAATGCACCATTTGCAAACAGTCGGTGGTCACCGTTGATCACCGGTGTTTTATTCAGCTTGAAAAAAAAGATGACGGTTTAACGGAAAAGGTTATTTATTATGGCACTGAAACATTTACGGATCAGAACGGTGTGCATACACCTTTTTTAATCTGTGCAAAATCCGATTCAAGCGAGGTTTGGGAAAAATATGGTGTAGAATGCATTAAAGATTTTATTATGCAGATGAGGCGGCCTAAATTCAACAATTATACATTTGTTGCACACAATGCGCGTGGATTTGATGCTTGTATAATTTTGAGAGCTATGAGTCAATTAAAATTTGTTCCCAAAAATATTCTCATGTAAGGTTGTAAGATCTTAAGTTTTAACGATCCAGATTTTGGCTTAAGATTTATAGATTCGTTAAGTTTTCTCATGATGAAACTAGCCAACCTCCCCGCTGCTTTGGGTTTTACAGATAAAACTAAAGGTTATTTTCCTCACAGATTTTCATCGGTTGAACATTTGAATTATATCGGCGCTTACCCTCCAGTGTCCGATTTTGGGTTTGACCAAATGTCTCAGGAGCAGAAAAATATATTTTTAGAATGGTACCACGAAGTGACTAAGCATCAGCTGTTTGATTTTAAGAAGGAAGCGATGTTTTATTGCAGGAACGATGTGGAAATTCTGCGTAAAGCATGCAGCATTTTCAGAGAGGAATTTTTTAATGAAACGGGGATCGACCCTATGAAATCAGTCACCATCGCTTCAGCTTGCATGCGCGTGTTTAGAACAAATTTCCTAAAACCAAACACTTTGGCCATCCCTTGTCCGCTCGGTTATCGCCCGCAAAAAAAAACCTTTTCAAGTTCAAGTATCGTGTGGTTAGAATGGGTTTCACGCCGTCAAAATGTAGAGATTCAACACGCTTTAAAACCTTCAGGGGAGCATAGAGTGGGAAAGTTCTTCCTCGATGGATTTGCTGTGATTTCAGGCGTTGAAAACGGATTTGAGTTTCTGGGGTGTTTTTTCCACGGCTGTCCAAAATGTTTCCTGCCGTCAGCCATCTGTCCTCTGAGAAAAATCACTTTTGGTGAAATTTATGACAAAACCATCGAAAAGCTACAGACGCTGGAAACTGTGCATCGATTAAAAGTGAATGTGATTTGGGAACATGATTGGCAGGAGATGGTGAAATCAAATCCGGACGTGAAACAGTTTGTCGAGGAATTTGAGTCCCCACCAGCTCCTCTTTCACTGCGTGAGGCGCTGTTCGGAGGGAGAACATGTCCCGTTCAGATGAGGCGTACGGCTCAGAGTAGGGTTGTCACGGTATGAAAATTTAACCTCACGGTTATTGTGCCCAAAATTATCACGGTTTTCGGTATTATCGCGGTATTTTTTAAACGGTGTTGCATTAGTTCAGAAAGCAAACTGAAATAGTTTTGAAAAGGTTTAACAGTGTTTATTAAACCTAAAATAACACAAAGCCTTAGCAAAAGTTAAAGTCCCATTAGTTGTGTGTGTGCGAAATTTGTTCTCCGCATTTGACCCATCCCCTGGGGGAGCGGTGAGCTGCAGACACAGCCGCGCTCGGGAACCATTTGCAACTTTTCACAAGTAAAGGAACAAATAGCTTATTTTTCTGGAACATGTTACAGTAGTCAGTGCAGGTTTAAATTATACAAATCCAAATATTTGAAACATAAACAATATGTAAACAAATCAAAGAAACACCACTTGTTTTCTCATATACTTGTTTTCTTCATTATCAAAATGAAAATCTAAAACTCCAGTCCACACTTGACTTGAGCACTGTGCAAGTCAACCTTAAAAAAATATGTATTTAAAATAAATAGCCACTTTAAACAAATTACTAAAATAACTACTACACTATGTAATCAAATCCAAATGTTCAAGTATAAATGGCATTGAATAAGTAAAGAAATCAATGACAAGGAACTAATTGTATATTTCTCTTCATCTTCAACAAATAAGATGCTTCATCCAGCAACAGGGTGTCCGTGACACGGTTTAAATGCTAGCAGAGGGCGCTGCGGCTGCAGTATATAGTGACTCGTTGCATTCTCCCTCAACCAAAAGTCTTCACGTCATGCATTTAAGCTAAAATGCTAATGTTAACTTACCTTGCACTGGCTGTAGAGACGTGGGTGATGGTCACGCAGATGTGCCATTAGATTCAAAGTGTTGCTGCCTTTTGCAGACACTTGTTTCCTGCACGTTCTGCAAACGGGATAGCCGTCTTCTATTAACTGTCCCTCAGCATTTTTCAGAAATCCAAAATATGCCCATACTTCCGATTTAGTCTTCTTTGAGGGCTGATGGATGTCCTGGGCGCTGCCGTCTCCTCCTTCGGCCATTATTTCAGCTTCAAAGTTTTGGTTGCAAACTAAAAAGTGCGTGAGCGCGCCGCGGGAACTTCAGCAGAAGCGACGGTGGCTGGTAAGGGTCACCGCGCCTAAACCGCGGCCACGGTAAACCCACCGAGATAATTTAGTTTTTTAAAAACTGGACGGTTATTTTTATTGTCAACTTTTTTACCGGGGTTTACCGCTATAACGGTTACCGTGACAACCCTAGTTCAGAGTGATGAAAAAATTCACTACGTGGATTTTACGAGTCTGTACCCTTACATAAACGCCACGCAAAATTATCCCATCGGTCAACCCAAAATCCATGTGAAAATTTTCAAAGATCCAAGTAGCTATTTTGGTTCGATTAAAGCGGTTGTCTCTCCGCCCAGAAAACTGTTTTTCCCTGTTCTGCCTTTTAAAACATCCAAAGGTAAATTAGTTTTTACCCTATGTCGTACTTGCGCTGAGCTAAATAATCATTCTAATTCTTGTTCACACAGCCCATCTCAGAGAGCTTTGGCAGGAGTATGGGTGAGCGTGGAGCTCAATTATACGTTGGAGTCTGGTGAAAATGATTGAAGTCTGGGATTTTGAGAAAAGCAGCAAAGATGTGTTTGCAGGTTACATTAAGATGTTTCTGAAACCAAAACAGCAAGCCTTGGGTTTTCCTGAAGGACTGATGATGAATCAAAAAGAAAAAACGTTCAGGACAGCTCCGTCAGGGGATACGATTAGATTTGGCAAAGATTCAATGCAATCCTGCTAAACGTGCCATTTCAAAATTATGTCTTAATTCACTTTGGCAGAAATTTGGTCAGAGAGATGACATTGTACAGACCACATTTGTTCTAAACCCTGATGAATTTTTTGACCTTCTGTTTTCAGGAAAATACGAAGTTAAATTCTTTAGCTTTGTCACTTCAGGAGCTGTTCTGGTCCAGAATTCCTTGACAGCAGTGGCGGCTGGCCAGTAGAGGGCGATAGGGCACCACCCTCCCAGTTTTCCCCAGTGTTTTTAATTTTTATTTAAAGGAGACATAACATGAAAAACCCACTTTTTTATCCGTTAACACAGTGTGTTTCACATTTTAAGTGTCTAAGTGAGCAAAAAGGCTTATATTATTCACTGGAGTTGCTATTTAGATATTTAATAATTAAGTTTTGGGCATATTTGTCCACCCGTTCAGTTTTTCAAATTATCTATTAAATCAGTAATTTATTTCGTCAGGATAACTACCAAATATGGTAATGGCCCTCGGTTAAACACAGAGCCAATCCGCCATTTTTTCATCTCGCTAAGATTTTTTGTAGTCCTATTGGAAAAATGCAGAATGTCTGGTTATTTTAGCCACACACAGCTCAAAACTGTTCCTTGTTTTAAGGAAGGGTGGTGTGGCAGTATTTAAACCCAGGAGCTGATGACACTACTGCTAAAAAAACACAGAAGAAAAAGTAGTGTGTGTGTGTGTGTGTGTGTGTGCGCGCGCGCGCGCGTGGTTCGTTCGTGTCTCCTGGCTAGTAAGTACCGAGGGCTTCATCTATCTAAAAGGAGTCATTTCCATCTGAATGTGACAGCACCGGGACACAGCAGCAGAGCGGTAAGCTTCATATCACTCTAAAATGTCGACAAACTTTACTTTAGATTTATGGGCATTAGCAGCACTAAAGTATTAGCATCCGGCTTGCTATCGCTAGCACAGTATGCTAGTAAAGTTAGCACCCAGATTAATGTGGATTTGGCTGATTTTCATGGAATAAAATGTGATTTCTGATCAACGCCTTCTTTTACACCAGATGATAACCTCCCACTGATTGTAGCAGGAGAGAGCCTGTGTGTTATTCTACGTGAGTGTGATGTAATCTTAGCATCCAGTAAATAAAGTCCCATATCAGCTAAAATGCAGCGTGACAAAGTCATTAAAGTGCATCAACACAGTGGATTTAATAGTTTTAAAGGACAATCTCTGAGTGAAGTGAGGTTAGTTTTTTTGTCTCACTGCAGATATAAAAACGAACTCTGCATCAGTCAGACGCAGCAAAGCTCACCATCTGTATGAGCGTGAGCATCGGAAAGCTGATCAAATCAGCTGTAAAATAATTAAAACAACAGTAAAAATGCTCCTTTGCTTTTTAGAGTCCACATCCAGAAGGCTGGAGCCGTGTTTCACTGACAGGCTGTCAGACTAACGCCCTGATGAGCTCAGCTGGGACAATCTGGTCTGATGTTTAGGTAAGTGAAGATCTGCTTCTCCAAGGCCTTGAGATGCTAGTAAAAATAATTTAGCCAGCTTGCTAATGTTACTTTTCTTCTCCTCTAAGGAACACAGAACGCTCAGATGTTGGAGCTCACGTCACCTACTGAGGAAGGAGACCCACCAGTAAAGAGACGGTCTGGACCAGACCAAAGTGAGTGATGACACACCTCAGCCATCCTCATCATTAAGAACACCTCACCCCCTGAATCACTCCGTCTGATGACAGCAGAGTGATTTATTTGATGTTTTACTTGTTTAGTCTGTTTAGAAATTATTGAATTACATTATTTTCTGTAATCGACCATCTGATCTGGATGTGTACAGAATAACTTTCCCCAAATTCAGCAGCAGCTGGCCTACAAAAACAGCTGCAGCATGTAGTAAGTCTGTCTGCACTGCTCTCTAATGAGCTTCCTTTCATAAGGAATCATTTGTATAATTTTAGTGTCACTATTTTATTACATTTGTAAGAATATGAAGTCACTGCAGCAACACAAACGTGACTATAAACATGAAAGCTAAAGAAACAACTTTCCTAAAGCTGCTTGTAAACAAAATATGTCATTAAAGTTATCGTCTATCATTGCAGAATATGGCGATGACATCATGGAACTGGTCTTTGGAAAAGTTTTCCCTGAACCAACTCCGTTTCTAGATGAGGTAGAGAAGATCTGCATCTCACCAACTCTCTGGTCTCAGTATTCAGACAACGGAGGTCTCCCACTGTTATCCAGGACCAGTTTGAAGCCCACATACTTCCCCTCCCTCATCATCAGGAAACATCAATCCGTATCCTGAGGACAACAGAAGACGGCAGGAGGACAGGAACTCTGAGACCTAGATACCACAGCACCGGGACACAAAGCACCTGTGTGCACAAAGCCTGTTTAACTACTAAAACCTGTTTATTATATAGTTCTACTTATTTGCTGTGAGGTTAATACTTAGAAAATTTGTATTTTAATGTAAACAATAAAAAAATCATTGATTGTATGTTTTCTTTTAGATGTAATGGTCCAAACTCCGCCTTGTAGACATTTATTGCATCCTGTAGGTAAATACACAGAACAGGCTCAGATCCAGGATGACCCAGCATGCTCTTCTTCCATTCTGGCTGTTAGGGATTTTATCAATTACTCAATGCCTACTGATGTTTTCACCTAACGGTATTTATTTAGAATGCAGGTCAGACTTAACTATATTTGTTAGCAAAGCAGACTGATCTTGGGAATTTCACTGCAGCACTGATGTCCACCTCTCTGTACACATTAGAGAGAATTACCACTTTACAGCTAAACACATTTAATAAAGATATAGGCTACGCATTGCAGACAATAAAAACAAAGTTCTAAGCATTAGAATTATAATGATCACATTAAAGAACATTTGGAGGAATGTTCTTTATTTTTGACTAGAATCTCAAATCTTTAAATTAAAATGTAACTGCTTTTTATCCATTTTCAGCCATTAAGACACCCAATGTTAAATAAGACTACTTATAAAATTATTTATAATTATATGTATGTATATATATATATAGATAGAGATCTTAATAAAATATATTTTAATGGTGTTTTAATGAGCTGTATCATTTTTTAAAACATTTTTTATAGAAATAAATAAGCAAGCAGCATTCCTTGTGTGTGTGCGCGTGCGCGAGCCTGCTCGCTTGTCTCGTCGGCCGTGACGGGTGTGTGTGAGTGACTACAGACAAATGCATGAGAGAGTTAGCAGCCTTGGAACAGCTTGATGAACTACTCTCCCCACATGTTTAAAAATGCTAATATGCTATGCTAAATCTGCTATGCTAAATAATGATTTCTCTATAGAACTACAAAGTCCGGCTGGGGGAGGAGAGTACAGGTCTGCACAATGGAGGGGGGCGGAGTTTACAGCTCCTCCTCCAGTTTAAAGAGACAGTACCCAAAAACGGCTCGTTCTCAAGACTCTTCTCAGAACAGGGGTAGATGAGGGTCTGTAGAGCAACAATAATGAGGAAATCAGACCAAAGAACTGCAGTTCCACTGGTTTTAGACCCCCAACTGAAGGATTTAGATGTAAAAAGGAATAACTTAAAAGCATGTTATGTCTCCTTTAAAATAAATAAATAAATACAATTAACAATAATCACATATTCTAAGTTAATTGTGTGTTTTGTAACAAAAATAAATCATATATATATATATATATATATATATATATATATATATATATATATATATATATATATATATATATATATATATATATATATATTGGTCAGAAGCTCTCTGCTGAGCTGTGGAGGCGACAGAAAGGCTGTGGGCTGTGTTTCAATGGCCCAAACAGGACGGGACCAGCCGTCCAATTGCTGACAAGAAAATCAAAGGGTAGGAATGGGAATGCATCCAATCAGCGTCGACGTTGTTTCAGAAGCATGATGGGCGACAGAGCTACCGCCAAAGGCTTTCGTTGGTGTTCGGTAGAACTCGGCAGAGTCGTTTTTGGTTGTGACGCAGATGTAACAAGGACGCCGCCAGTGACTACAACCAGCATGGATACCGGATCTCAGCAGCCACGGAATTCAGTTTGGTCTCTTCTCCAGTATCCGTTCGAGAGGAGAACTATGGTGGAAAAACTTAATGTCAAAGAGCTTGGACCAGATCAGCCCGACGTAAAGATAAGCCAGCAGGAGAAGGAGAGAGGTAAACTGTACACACGAGGCTTCTCCCGAAATTGGTACACCAGGAAGGCTTGGCTAGTTGGATGCAATCACGCTAATGCGTTATTTTGCTTTCCGTGTTTGTTATTCAAAACGGCTGGTACAGATAAGGCATGGATTGAGTCAGGAGTTACAGACATGAAACATTTTTCTGAGAAGGTGAAGAAACACGAGTCATCCCGGGCACACATGGACAACAACACGGTGAAGCTAGCCATGCTAGGCAGAGCTAACATTGCCATGCAGCTCGACGAGGGAAACGGAAGAAATGGAGGACGTTTGGCCAGGGAGAACAACAGCAGCTGGGTGCAGAGGTAAGCTGTACATTACATTTCTGTGAACAAGACAATCAGAATCAGAAATCCTTGGTTGTCCCACAAACCGGGACATTTGTTTAATAACATGTTTAATGTGCAATAACTGTAAAAACTAATTTCAACACACATACTTATTATACATATTTAATCACGTAACTGTGTATTTCATGTAAATTTGTACATACATCAATCTGATTCCATTTTACCTGTTACATTTCTGCTGCAGCAAACAAATTTCCCAGCTTTTGGGACAATAAAACATTTCTGATTCTCAATTAGATGTTTTTACCTCAAATGTAAAAACATCTGATTGAGAATCAGAAATGTTTTATTGTCCCAAAAACTGGGAAATATGACATTTGTAAGAGGATACTGATGACATTATTTCCTATGAAAGTGTTTCCTATGTACTTATCTGTTGTTTTTTTATTTATCTACTTTAAAGAGGATTAAGACTTTCCTGAGGAACACCATGACACAGGATGGGCTGAATGCTCTTGCCATGCTCTCCATGGGAAAAAAAGCTTGTCACAAACATTCCTGACTTCAATAAAAAGCTAATCGAGAGACAGAAGGGCAAAGTTTCTGTACAAATGAGGTATCACACACACACAAATTCATCCACTTGATCTTTGTATAAAGTTGACCTTGGCACAACACTCCAGAAATATTTAACAGTGTAAATTTCTGGCATTTTGTCTAAGTAGTGTTTACTACCATTACTGTAACAGTGACCTGCTCATAATTTTTCGTGTTCACTCAAATGTTAAAATTAAACAAAATGTTTTTGTTACTTGCCTCTTGCATTGCCTATTTACCATTTATGGTCATTTTATTTTATGTGCAATTTAATGCAGTATTTTTCAACCTTGGTCCGCAAGGCAGCGTGCCAATAGTCAGACACACCTGGATTAATCAGTTTGTCCAATGATGTAAGACAGGAAATAAAAGAGCTGTGCTTAATTCAGGAAATAGTGAAGTTGTGCACAAAGCTCAGAAAGCACAAGTTTGTTTAAAAATAAAAAATAGCACAGCCCCACCAAAAATGTTTTTCACCAGCCGCCACTGCTTGACAGATAAATGCTTCGCCACTCCTGGCAGAAGCAACAACATTTTCATCGCGGCTTTCACCACAGCTCATGCCAGATTGAAATTATTAAATGTGTTGAACAAACTGGAAAATTGCATCATTTATTACGATACAGATTCTGTGATTTATTCTGTCAAAGAGGTCGAGTGTGCTTTGCAGACAGGATCGCTTCTGGGGGATCTGACCGATGAACGGTGCCGGATGAACGGAATTTGTATCAGCAGGTCCTAAAACCTATGCTTACAAAACCCGGGACCGCCAGCAGGTGGTGATAAAGGCTAAGGGTATCACACAGTCTTTCATCTCATCTAATCAGATCAATTTTGACAGCTTGGCCCAGCTGGTTGACGGCTACATCGCTGGAGAAAGGGGGAGGTTTTTGCAAACTCAGCAGGACGTCATCAAGAGAGATAAAAAAGACCTAATTCTCTTAAATATTTCATTTGTGAAAAGGTTTTGTGTGATTTTTGATAAACGGAGGTTATTTGCCGACGGCATGACTGAACCTTTCGGTTATTAGATGGAAACTGATTTTGATCCCAGACTGAAAGTTCCATTCAGTGTACAAATTGCCGGACCCTCGGGATGTGGGAAGACTTTCTTTGTAAAAAATATTTTGGAAAATTGAATGCAATGTTTAACTGAAATGCCAAAAAACATTGTATGGTTTTTTACATCTTATCAACCGATGTATGATGATCTTTGTAATAAAAGTATTAGATTTATTCAAGGTCTCCCGCCTTCATTCGACAATGACGACCTGTTTCCAATCAATCAAACCTATTTGGTGATCTTAGATGACCTGATGTCTCAAACATCCAATCATCATGGAGTGTTAAAGTTATTTACACAGTTGAGACACCACAGAAATATGAGCGTGTTTTTAATCACTCAAAATGTTTTTCATCAAGGAAAACATAGTCGTTCCATCAGCTTAAACACTAATTATTTGATTTTGTTTAAAAACCCTTGAGATAAATTGCAAATCAACGTTTTAGCAAATCAAATCTATCCTACTCAGAAAAGATATTTTATGGAGAGTTTTCAAGACGCTACGTTGGAACCTTACGGATATTTATTGGTTGATTTTAAACCAGAAACGCCAGAACCCGTCCGACTCCGTACGGGTTTACTTCCGGGTCAGCTAACTGTGGTGTATTTACCTAAAACAGACCAAAGTCAGCCAGGATAAAACGCAACGCCAAGATTCTACGTGCTTTGTCACGCATGAAGCCGCGTCAACGTCAGAAGTTTTTAAAAGGGTGCTCCGAGGACATTCTGAAGGCTTTGTGCGAGTTTGCTTTAAATGTGCTAAAAGGAAATATCCGTCTGTCACCGCATCAATTTCAAAAGTTGTCCAACAGCAAAACGGTGCTCAGGCAGTTGACTCATAACAAAACTAGCCTTTTAAAAAAAAAGAAGCTTTTAGTCGGTCAAAAAGGCAGATTTCTACCGATTCTCTTAGCCACTGCAGCGCCTTTTTTAGGTGAACTGATAGGGGGATTAATAACAAGAAAATAAATGATGGCTTCTCGAAAAATGTTCATGGTTACGCCGCAGCAGCTACGTCATCTCGTTAAACCTACAATCCGGGACGTGGCTGAAGAGAATCTTGACTCGGAAATGAAATTAATTATGCAGGAGACGGGGTTAACGCCGTATGAGAAAATTAAAAAATACAATGAGCTGCTGCAACATTATTTAAAACTGTTGAGAAGCGGATTACACGAAAGTGCACCTCCCACTGAATCAGCCGCTGGAACAGCTGATCTCACGTCAGCTGCAGAAACAATCGCTGAGGCTGAAACACTCATTAGTGAGACGCTACAGAATCTTCCTGTACGCAGAAGGAGAAACGCCGAGTACTTGCTGAACATGACACGAT